TCGGACGCTTAACCGACTGCGCCACCCAGGCGCCCCTTAACTCTATATTCTAAGAAGAAGTATAGGTGATTTAAAATGGAGACCTGAGGGAAATATAAATCACATATAAAAGCAAAGAAAGGTAGTATAAAGGAAAAGATGAACAGATTTGATCTTATAACAATTCAGAAAACTAGAAACGAGATTAAAAGCCAGATGGGAAAAAAAAAGAGGCAGATGATGGTACACTGGGAAAACAATTTGAAATATGTACAACAAAGGTTTGACTTTATATTTACTTAATTATTTTTTAATTTTATTTTTTAAAGTTATTTACTTATAAAACAATTTTTTTTTATGTTTATTTATTTTTGAGACAGAGACAGAGCACGAACAGGGGAGGGGCAGAGAGAGAGGGAGACACAGAATCTGAAACAGGCTCCAGGCTCTGAGCCATGGGCATAGAGCCCAACGTGGGGCTCGAACCCACGAACTGTGAGATCGTGATCGAGCCGAAGTTGGACGCTTAACCGACTGAGCCACCTGGGCGCTCCTAAAGTTTTTTTTTTTAAGTTTTTATTTTAATTCCAGTTGGTTAATGTATAGTATTATATTAATTTCAGGTGTACAATACAGTGACTTAACAGTTCCATATATCACATGGTGTTCATCACAACAAAAGTACACTCTTTAATCCCTATCACCTGTTTCACCTATTTCTCACCCCACCCCCCACCTCCCTAGCTCCATCAGTGTGGTCTCTATAGTTAAAAGTCTTTTTCTTGATTTGTGTCTCTCTCTCTACCTTTTTCTCCCCCCTTTGCTTGTTTGTTTTTTCTTAAATTCTACATATGAGTGAAATCATACGGCATTTGTCTTTCTCTGACTGACTTATTTCACTTAGCTTAATACTCTCTAGCTCAACCCATGTTGCAAATTGCAAGATTTCACTCTCTTATATGGCTGAGTAATCCGTTGTATATTTGTACTGTATCTTCTTTATCTATTCATCTGTCGATGGACACTTGGGCTGCATCCATATAAAGGTTTGACTTTTTTTTTAAATTTTTTTATGTTTTTATTTATTTTTGAATGAGAGAGAGAAAGACAGAACATGAGTGGGGAGGGGCAGAGAGAGAGAGGGATATACAGAATCCAAAGCAAGTTTTAGGCTCTGAGCTGTCAGCACAGAGTCCAATGCGGGCTCGAACTCACAAACCGCGAGATCATGACCTGAGCTAAAGTTGGACGCTTAACTGACTGAGTCACTCAGGCACCCCAAAGATTTGACTTTTTAAATACAGATTAACTAGGGGTGCCTGGGTGGCTCATTCGGTTGAGCATCTGACTTCAGCTCAGGTCATGATCTCACAGTTTGTGAGTTTGAGCCCTGCGTAAAGCTCTGTGCTGACAGCTGAGCCTGGAGCCTGCCTTGAATTCTGCGTCGCCCTCTCTCTCTGACACTCCCCCATTCACACTCTGTCTCCCTCTCTCTCAAAAATAAATAAACATTAAAAAAATTTTAATGCAGATTAACTAAAGATAATAAAGTGTTTCTTTCTGTTAAATTACCATAATTTTGTTTTTGTTTTCAAGTAATACTCATTATGGAGGAGCAGTGCCCTTTTGTATTGGTGGTAGTGTATACGATTTATGCAGTTCCTCTAGACTTTCTGGAGGACAGTTTAACAAGATGCATCATCCTTAAAAAGTTTATTTTTACTTCTAGAAATGCAATCTGAGGAAATAACTAGAGTTGTCCAAAAAGGTGATGCACTAGGATGTTTCTGTCAGTAGAGTGTTTATTAGCAAAAAGTTAGAAACAATCTGATTGTTCATGAATTGAAGATAGGTTAAATAATGATGTTATAGCTATGTAATAGGTCATCTTATAGAAAATAGCATCTCTTTTCCCACTTTCTCTTCTCCTACCTGCTTTATTTTTCTTTACAACATTTATTACCACCTGAAATACTATTCATTTTCATTGCCCACCGCACTAGAAAGTAATTTACTTGAGAATAGAAACTGTTTTGTTCACTCTTTGCCACCAGTGCCTGAGTTAGTGTTTGACACATCATATGCACATGATAAATATGTATGTCCAGTAGAAAACGAAAACACTCTATAAAAACTATGTGCTGTATGATCCCATTTGGGGATTTATAAAAAAATATTTTTAATAGACATGTGTGGTATATACATAAGACAAAATAGAAAAACATATACTAGAAATTTAATGTGATATCGCAGTTTAGAACTGACACTCTAGACTCTGACAACTTGGGTTTGAATTCCAGACATACCACCTACTTAGCCATGTGGCTGTGAGCTAACAAAGTTACTTCAGATCTCCGACCTTTAGTTTTTGCTTTTTTAAAATGGAGTTGTGCTACCTCATACCTGTTGTGAGGTTTAATCAAGATAATGCAGAAAAAGTGTTTAGCATAATGCTTGGCACAGCAAATGCTCCATAAATGGTAGCTATTTTTAGCTTCCCATAATCATGAGATTATGAGCGACTTTTGTTTTCTTCTTTTTGTATTTGTGGTAAGTTTTCTACTTTTGGCAAATGTGACTTTTTGTAGGTAGGAAATAAACAACCAAATACACTTTAAGTTGGTAATAAGAACCAAGATATAAAATGGGTCCAAGAAGTAAAGCCAATTAAAAAAAAAAAGTATATCTATAATTCTGTGTGCTTGCTGACGGTAACTAGGTCTAGAGTGTTAAATATCACTTGGTATTTAGAGCCTAGTCCTGGGAGTATTTTTGTCTATGTTGTATTGAGACAAAAAGCACTTGATTTCAGTAAGCACTTAATTGGACAAGTAATAATGACAACAGATGAATCAGGCGGGAAGCCTGCCTTCAGTGTTCTCTGTTTAGTGAAAGTGAGAGTGTCTAAGAGAAACAGACATTTCAGTTCCTCGATTGCACACACATCACTCTCCTAGAGTGACTGACTTGTGCTCAGTTCAGTGGACTTGATCAGGGGCCCTGGGAGAAGTGTCCTTGCAGTGTAAAAGGTTTGAGGAGGAAACAGGATCTCTCAGAGGATTAATAGAAAATCCGCTCCTTCTTCTAGGATGAGGGGAGAGAAAGAGTAACCATGTGGAAGGATCTCTGTCACAAAGGGACAAAAAAGTTTCTCTGTTCTCCCATGGGACCATCCCTCTAGTTGTGGCAGCACTAATTACCTGGAAACTTGGCAAATAGGTAACTATCAAGAACAAACCCTGGGATTGCCAAGTCCCCATGATGTAAAGACAAAAGGGACTCTCTTCCCTGTCTGGTAGCTCACTGCTTAGTGGAGAAGACAGACTGCAGTATTGTATGGCTGCTTTACCTTTATAAAGCTACATTGTGAACTTATGCTTTTAGGGTAGAAATACTTCAAGGGCACACCTGGTAGGACCTTGTTGCAAAGGGCCTTGCTGTTCTCAGCACTTCAGGTTGATAAACCTTTGCTTACTGCCCACCGTGTTTCAAGTCCCATGTTCCATCTGTGGATAAAGAGATCTCTTACATCTCTTGCCCTAAATATATGCATTCCATTCCTGACTACACATGTCAAGTAACAAGCAGCCACTGGTCTGCCTTTTATTTGGCTCTGGACATTTCGAGGTCCTGCATACATGTCAAAAATTTTAAAGCAAAAATATGTACATTTTATAAATAAATTGCAAATGCCCGCATTCATAAGTTTCAAAGAGAATTTTGTACTATAGAAAGGCAAATCTCAAATAGTGGTTAAGTGCTCTCTAAAGAGTTCATGGAAAAAGTTCAAAATGGGTCATAGAATATCAAGGGAAATTTCTTACTTGATCCAAATGCTTCCTGACAGTAACAAGTGATGAATGTTTATACCATTTATAAATAACCTATTCTTGAGGAGACAGAATCAAGGTGAGTAGTTGGTTATCTTGTTTATAAAAAGATAACCTTTTTTCACGTTTTGATTTTTTTTTTTTTAAGATTTTATCTTTATAGCCAACGTGGGGCTCAAACTCACAACCCTGAGATCAAGAGCCTCTTATTCAATGGACTGAGCCAGTCAGGTGCCCTTTAATTTTCTGAATAATAGAAGTAAGTGTACAGGGGAAAAATTTTATCCCACATGGGTATAAAATGGAAATCAGGGTTTTTTTCCCTCCCGTCCTGTGATGACAATATCCTCTCCTCAAAGATCTCACCTTAAGTCATTTCTTGTTATACTTTCAAAAGTGGAATTTTGTTAATATACTTACATATATATATGCCTGTTAAAAAAATAACTGAGGGCCGCCTGGCTCACTCAGTTGGTAGAGCATGTGACTCTTAATCTCAGGGTTGTGAGCTTGAGCCCCACGTTGGGTATAGAGATTACTTAAAGATAAAATCTTAAAAAAAAAAAAAAAAAAGAGATTGCCTGCAGTTTTCACTTAATAGAGCTTTGAGATATTTTCATATGAATGCATAGACTTCTCTCTCTTATTAATGATCCCATAAAATTCTAATGTATAGACATGTCATAACATTCACATGCTCAAGGGTGTTTAGGTCATTTCTAGTTTTCGTTATAAACAGTGCTGCAGTGAACATATTATACATACAGCTTTATAAGCCTTTCAGTCATGACTCTTTTTTTTTTTTTTTAATTTTTTTTTTTCAACGTTTATTTATTTTTGGGACAGAGAGAGACAGAGCATGAACGGGGGAGGGTCAGAGAGAGAGGGAGACACAGAATCGGAAACAGGCTCCAGGCTCTGAGCCATCAGCCCAGAGCCCGACGCGGGGCTCAAACTCACGGACCGCGAGATCGTGACCTGGCTGAAGTCGGACGCTTAACTGACTGTGCCACCCAGGCGCCCCAAGTCATGACTCTTTATAAAAGAATATAGGTAGCTGATAAAGAATAACTTAAGTAGCCATGGAATGGAATTTTACCGACAGTTAACAAGTGTTTGAGTGAATTTGGCACATTATGATACAGAATCATGTAATGTTAGACCTTGGAAGAGACTTGTGATCCTCTTACCCAGTGTTCTCATTTTACAGAACCTGAAATAGTTAACCAGTTTGTCCGAGTAGTTCGTTGACATGGTTGGTGAAGCTGGGGTCAGGATCCAAGTCCTCTAATCTCCCCACCCAGGATTCTTTTCACCATTTTATACTCTTTCCCCACAAAATCACTTACATTTGACTGTTAACAATGGGCTTAGATTGTGTCTATTTATGAAGTAAATGTTATAATCCTATCAGCTGATGGTTTAGTATGTGCCTTTTGGCAATTGTAGATCAAATAGTTTTCCAAATGTAACCAATTATTATCGTTTTTAATACTTGTTTTAAATTTATTGCAAGATAACATTTGTGAAGCAGTTTTTTTAAACTGTAAAGAGCTATTAGACATGTGTGAGATATTATCCATATTACTTAGCTTTAGAAGTTGTATAGGCTCTGGCAAGATTTAACAGAGTGCTTTAACTTTATCAGATGCAGTTTTAAAAAAAAATGTAGGTTTTCTTCTTAATAGTCCTAAAGATTTTTCAGGAGGTCTTAGGGTTTTGTTCTGTTTCTCCCCCCAGGTTCATTGAGATGTAATTGACATATAACATTGTGTAAGTTTAAAGTATTTTGATGTAGTGATTTTATGTATGTATATATGATCTTAAGGTTTTAAATACTACCTGTCAAGTTATGATTAGTTGAAGTTCTATTTTCATTGTTTGTTTTCTTATAGAATCTTTAGACGACCTGACTAATCTGGTAGTAAAGTTATTTTCTGAAGTAGAGAACAAAAATGTCCCATTGCCAGAATTTCCTGAACACCCTTTCCAAGAAGAACATCTTAAAGTAAGTGAATGTATTTCTGATATATATATGAATGTATCAGAATGTATTTGTGATATATATATAGAATATATATATTCTGATATATATAGAGAGAATATATATATTCTGATATATATATATATAAATTGTATTTGAGATATATAGTTTTACTTTATGGACATAATATATGCCTAGTTTACCAAACAGTAGATGAATAATTTTGAAAGTTTTATTTATATAGTTTATTTAACATCTGTTTGGATAATCAAATCAATTTCACATTTACAGGGATATGAATCACCAAAAAGATACCAATATATATCTGATCTTTGCATGCTAAAAGTAATTTTGGTAGTTATAGCTTTGACATACAGTAGAAACTGTTATCCACGGTCAGAAGGCAAGCATATTGAGCTGCATGGTGTAGGGGACTGGACATGGGCTGCACACCAACTGTAATGAAATTCCACTTAGAAGGAACCTAGGCCAGGGGCGCCTGGGTGGCTCAGTCGTTAAGCATCCGACTCTTGGTTTTGGCTCAGGTCATGATCTCATGGTTTGTGAGTTCGAGCCCTACATCAAGCTCTTCACTGACAGCGCGGAGCCTATGTGGGAGTCTCTCTCTTCCCCTCTGTCTCTCCTCCTCTCTCTCTCTCTCAAAATAAATAAATAAATTTTAAAAATTAAAATTTATATTAAAAAAAGAAGAAGAAGAAGGGGCTCAGGCCATTTATTTCTTTGTGGTCAATACAGTTTACTCTGGCAATTGATTCTCTTTTGGATTTGGGATTCTTCCATGAAAATCTGTATTCTTATAGTTTGTAAATATTTTATTCATTGGGAGTTGTGTATAGCTAATCTTTTGTGGTCTTTTTTTTCTAGCAACTTTACAAAATAGTACCCATTAAGGATATTAGGAATCTTTATGTGACATTTCCCATACCTGACCTTCAGAAATACTACAAGTCAAATCCTGGCCATTATCTTGGTCATCTCATTGGGCATGAAGGTCCTGGAAGTCTGTTATCAGAACTTAAATCAAAGGGTAAGTCTTTGGCCACTGGTGTACTGCTCCACATCTTTTTACTATGGCTCTCATTTTCTCCTAAATATTTTTGTGTGAAAGAACGTTTTTGGATGAGACTGTTTTGGGTTTATGGGAGAGTGAGATGGTGGTTGTTAGTGTGCTTTTGTTTTTTTTGCTTTTATTTTTATTTTTTAACTTATTTTTAGTTTTGACAGAGCACACGTGTGTGCATGCATGCAAGTGGAGGTGGGACAGAGAGAGAAGGAGAGCGGGAATCTTTTTTTTTTTTTTTTTAATAATTTTTTAATGTTTATTTATTTTTGAGAGAGACAGAGACAGAATGCAAGTGGGTTGGGGCAGAGAGAGAGGGAGGCACAGAATCTGAAGCAGGCTCCAGGCTCCGAGCTGTCAGCACAGAGCCTGACGCGGGGCTCGAACTCATGAGCTGTGAGATCATGACCTGAGCCGAAGTCGGACGCTCAACCGACTGAGCCACCTAGCCGCCCCTAGGAGAGGGGGAATCTTAAGCAGATTCCGTGCCAGCGCAGAGTCCAATGCTGGGCTCAATCTCAGCACCGTGAGATCATCACCTGAGCCGAAATCAGGAGTCAGATGCTTAACCGACAGAGCCACCCAGGCACTCCTGGGTTTTATTCCCCCCAGCTGAATTTGTTTTACCCTTCAGTATTGAGCAGTGAAAGTTAGATATTTGAAAAGATATTGTGGTACATGTTTTAAAGAACAGAGAGGTTAAAAAGTAAAAGCTCAGTTTGGATATTCTTTACCATCTATGTGAAGTGACAGTACACATTATTTACTTGCCTGCTCTTATCCATCACACCAGAGGGTATACTGAAATTTAGTCATTAGATGATTTCCAAGACCCCTCTCAACTCAGGCTCTGATTTTACATAACACTTAAGCACAATAGTCTACTCTTGCTTGGAGAACTGATTTGAAGAGTCCTGAGGAAAGCTCCCAACCCAAAAAATCCCTTGAGTCTTTACAGTGCCTGAAACGGGTTTTCTAAAGTAAGTTTTTCTGATCTTTTCTGTAAGTGGTCCATTCTGATATCTTGCAGACATATAGTATGGACTAAAAATAACATTCTTTGCCTTAAAAGAACCCACACATACAATCCTGTTTTGATTTCCTTTGAATGTTACAGGCTGGGTAAATACTCTTGTTGGTGGGCAAAAGGAAGGAGCCCGAGGTTTTATGTTTTTTATCATTAATGTGGACTTGACTGAGGAAGGATTATGTAAGTATTGACCTTTTTGATTTTGAATGAAATTGACTTCTTATTATATATATATTTTTTAACTTCTATATGCTGTGGATCTGTTTTATGTTGTAAAGCCATGGAACCTTTAATTCATGCAATTCATCCTTTGTATTTTTCATGTGCAACTTGGCCTTCATTTCATGGATGATTTTTCCTCCTTAACAACTGATCATTATGTTGCACTTGTGAAATGTGTACTTGGCTTTTCATTGGCTCATTAACTTCCCCAAAGTTCCTTCTGTCATATACCCTGGAGTCTGAAGGGCCATGTGTCTGGCACCCTAAAATCAGTCTCAGGGAAGTGAGGATTCCATTTCTACTTACCTGACTGTACCTTAGGAGTGAGCTCAGTACTTTGAAGCATTCAAGGACTGAATGATTTTTAAGTGTGCCCCTTTTTTTCAGTACATGTTGAAGATATAATTTTGCACATGTTTCAATACATTCAGAAGTTACGTGCAGAAGGACCTCAAGAATGGGTTTTCCAAGAGTGCAAGGTAATTTTGTTTCACCAAAATTTTTCTTAAGGAAAAGTTTCAGAAAACATAGATATGTGAATTAAGTTTAAAGCCTAGTGAAACTTGTAAAGTTTTTGGGGGTTTTGTTGTTATTTAAACTCTAAAAAATCTGGCCGTGCATAGTAGCTTTAGTTAATGCTTATACTACTCTGATTGGCTACCTGGGGCACAATTAAGGGCTAAGGCATCACATAACCTTTCTTTGCAGGAGAAAAGAAACTGCCTTTCTATCCCTCAGAAGAAAGCCAGCCGTTTCTTGAGCTTGTATCTGTAAGGGCTTACATTACTGTTTGCCTGAAGCTTCATGAGCCTCTGTCGTTTTCAGATCTGGTGACAAAAATCTCTAGCATACTTTCAAAAAAATAATGAATTGTGGGCGCCTGGATGGTTGGCTCAGTCATTTGAGCATCCAACTCTCAATTTCAGCTCAGGTCATGATCCCAGGGTTACCAGATCAAGCCCCACATTGGGCTCCCTGCTGAGCATGGAGTCAGCTTGGGATTCTCTTCATCTCCCCTCCCCCTTCCCCTTCTCCCTTCCTGTCTCTCTCTCCCTCCCTCTCTCTCCCTCTCTCCCCCTTCCATCCCCCTTCTCTCTCTCTCTCAAAATATATAAACTTAAAAAGGAAATAGTGAATTGTTTTATGTATGATTATGTTCTTTTTTTTGTTGTTGTTTATTTTTGAGAGCGCACAAGCAGGGGAGGGGCAGAGAGAGGGGGGCACACGATACGAAGTGGGCCACCCAGGTGCCCCTGTGTAATTGTGTTCTTAAAAGTGATTTTATTGTTGTATGTATGGAAAGGCCTCGCTGTCTTTTATTTATTTTTAAAAATATGTACTTTACATTTAAGACCTATTGAGATTCTGAAATGTATTTTAGGATAAGAGAAATCCTTTTTACTTAGATAAAAGTTTAAAGGAATACTTGCTGCTTGGACAGTAACTTCTAACCTGGATGCATTTCTCTGAATGGATCAACAAAATCAACATCTGTGCAACTGTTGATCTTGCAAGGTTCTTCCACAGTTTTCCTAATTCTCTAATAGTTTAACAATTTAGGTTAAAGAAATCATAGTCTGTATTGGTTATTTTTAAATTACTTTTTTATTTTTTATTTATTTAAAAAAATTTTTTTTAAGTTTATTTTGAAAGAAAGAAAGCACATGTGCAAGCGGGAGGAGGGGCAGAGAGAGAGGAGAGAGAATTCCAAGCAGGCTCCAAGTGCTGTCAGCCTAAAGCCTGATGTGGGGCTTGAACCCACAAACCATGAGATCGTAACCTGAGATGGAATCACGAGTCGGACACTTAACCAACTGAGCCACCCAGGTGCCCCCCCTCCTTTTTCTAATGTTGGTTTATTTTTGAGAGAAAGAGTGCATGTGTGCACACCAGTGGGGGAGGGCAGAGCAGGAGGTAGGACAGGATCCTAAGCAGTCTTTGTGCTGACAGCAGTGAGCCCAATGCAGAGCTTGAACCCACAAACTGTGAGAGCATGACCTGAGCTGCGGTTGGACGCTCAACTGTTGAGCCACCCAGACACCTCTATATTGCTTATTTTCATTCATATTCTATACATTTCTAAATCAAGCATAGCCAGTTTTTCAGAAACTATGATAAAGTTAAATATGGATAAAGAAACTATGATAAAGTTAAATAAAAAAAATTTTTTTTAAGAAGGTATTTCTAAATGATGGGTGACTTATGTGTAATTGGGTTAATTTTTCTTTTTAGGACTTGAATGCTGTTGCATTCCGGTTTAAAGATAAAGAGAGGCCACGGGGCTATACCTCTAAGATTGCAGGAATATTGCATGTAAGTTTGTTATTTTACATATACATTGGTATGTAGAGTATTTTTGTGATCCTGCATATATTATCTTCAGTACTACATGAATGATAAAAATTGAAGCTGCAGGATAAAACTTTAGACTTTGTAGCAACCAGGCAAACTTTGATGTCAAAACATGCTTAAAATCATGATTTTCATCATCCTAAAAATTATCTATAGTATTTTTCATTACATAGGCATTCTGCTTATTGGATTTAAATATTTTTCAGTTCTACAATGTGTCAGTTGCTAATTATGTGAAAGTTGTATAGATCATCTGCTTTTCTCCATTTCCATTGCTACCACCTAGTCTGAGCTACCGTCATGTCTTGGCCTTGACTGTATCATGGTCTCTTACCTGGGATCTCCTTATCTCTGTTTTCCCGCTTGTCCCCCGCTACAGTTTATTTTTCCAGTCCCAATAATCTTTTGAAAACCAAAATCAGATTGTTTCACCTCTCTGTGTCAAGTCCTTCAGTAGTTTCCCATCAGAATTGGAATAAAATCTAAAATGTCACCTTGGCCTACAAGGTGATTTGGCCCCAGCCTGTCTCTCCGACCATATTCTGTATCACTCCCCAACCCACCTTTCCCCATTCACAATCCTCTCTGGCTGTACTGGCTGCCTGCCTTCCTGCCTAATCTTCAAGCATTCAGTTTATTATTCCCTTTTGGGGTCTTGTGTATTTGCCATTTTCTCTACCTGGAACACTCTTGTCTCTTGTCTTTGCATGGCTGGGTTCTTATCATTTGGGTAGGTGTCTCTTCCTCACAGAGACCTTCCCTGACCTCCCAGTCATGGCTCTGCCCCTTTCTTATTCATAGTCCCTATCACTATAATGATAGTATTCGTTTATTGTCTTTCTCCCTCCCAATCAGAATATAAGCTCCTTGGCTAAAATAGGTGAAGGAGATTAAGAGTGCACTTATCTTGATGAGCACTGAGAAATATACAGAATTGTTGAATCATTATATTGTCCACCTGAAACTAATAGAACACTGTATGTTAACCATACTGGAATTAAAAAACAAAACTTTAAAACTCTGATCACTCCCTCTCCTGACTTACATGTTAATTGTTGTTTTGTATTTTAGTTCAAACTTGAGTCTTAATCCCCAAATGAATTATTATTGTTATTATTTAACTGATTATTGTATGCAAAAAAAAAAAAAAGAATATAAACTCCTTAGGGAACAGGGACATCATCTGTCTTACCTGGCACAGAGTAGATGTTTGTTAAATATTTGTTGAATGAATGAAATAGGCTGTCTCAGTATATTGGAAGTTGCTCTTACTAAAAAAAGCGTATTCTACATTATTTTTCTTCACTAGCCCAAAGTATAAGCCATCTCCCCCCCACAAAAACTTTCTAAATGTTTTTCTGATTTCATTCATAGAAATTTGAGAGGAAATTCTGTTCATAAAAATGTACTTTATATTAAGAATCCTATAGATGTCAGCATTTCACTGTCAAATTTTCTTCATTAACAAGTATTCAATTTCTAGCCAGAAATACATTTTCTCCCTGAAAAAAAAAATGTGATTTTGCTTTCTATAATGTAAATGTATTTGGGGATTAACTACAAAATTATCCTACGACAGGAAACTGCTTCAGGTGTGGTAAGAGAAAAATGTTTCTAGTGGAGTAAAATTTAGTTAAAGGAGGATGTGAGGGGTATAAAATAATGGATTTAATGTGTTAGGGATTTGTTTGCTTTAATAAATTAGACTCTATAGTTGCCTTGCACATTTAACTTATCTGTTTGTTTTCCTTTTAATAAGTATTATCCCTTAGAAGAAGTGCTTACAGCTGAATATTTACTGGAAGAATTTAGACCTGACTTAATAGAGATGGTTCTTGATAAACTCAGACCAGAAAATGTCCGGTGAGTCATTCTACATATTTTACTGTTGCATACTAAGTTTTCAATAATGATTAGAACCTGAAAATTTGGAATTGTGAATAAAATGATTTTAAACTTTTTATGAAGCATGATTAGAGTAGAAAGAATAGTATAATGAAGGGGCGCTTGGGTGGCTTAGTCAGTTGGGCATCTGACTTCGGCTCAGGTCATAATCTAATGGTTCATGATTTCAAGTCTTGCTTTGAGCTCTGTGCTGACAGCTCAGAGCCTGGAGCCTGTTTTGGATTCTGTGTTTCCCTCCCTCCCTCTCTCCCTCTTCCTCCCCTGCTCACACACTGTCTCTCCCTCTGTCTCTCAAAAATGAGTAAATGTTTAAAAAAAAAAAAAAAAAGAATAGTCCATTGAAGCAATACTAAACTTGAGCGAGTCACTACGTGACCAACCTTTGTTATCTTTACTCACCCGCTTCACTCATCCTCTCTCCACTGTAGATGATTTTGAGGCAGTATCTCTAAAATATGAAGACCTTTAGTTTTTTGTTTTTTTTTTTTAATGTTTATTCATGTTTGAGAGAGAGAGGCAGAGAGAGACAGAATGCAAATCAGGGAGGGGCAGAGAGAGAAGGAGACACAGAATCTGAAGCAGGCTCCAGGCTCCAAGCTGCCAGCACAGAACCTGACACAGGGCTCAAAGCCACGAACCGCGAGATCACGACCTGAGCCAAAGTCAGATATTCAACCGACTGAGCCGTCCAGGCGCCCCAACATGAAGACCTTTAAAAAAAAGAAAATATAGTCATAATGTCGTTATCATGAATGAAATATAATAATAGATCGTCTTAACCTGGTTTCATCCTAACTCAGATGCCCAAAGTATCAGCTTACATGTCTGGCTTCATAAACAAATGAGTACACCCTCCTTTTTTTTTTTTTAATTTTTAATGTTTGTTTATTTTTGAGAGAGAGAGAGAGAGAGAGACAGAAAGCATGAATGGGGAGAGAGAGGAGAAGAGGAAGACACAGCTGCGAGAGGAGAGGAGACAAAGCTGAATGGGGGGGGACAGAGAGGGGAGACACAGATGCAAGTGGCAGGCTGGCGGGGTCAGGCTGTCAGCACAGAGTCCAACACGGGGCTCAAACTCACAAACCATGAGATCATGACCTGAGCTGAAGTCAGCTGCTGAACCAACTGAGCCACCCAGGCTAGGACACCCTTTTTTTTAAGTGGAGGGAAGCATTACAATCTCAGAATCCTCTCACTGACAAGTGATTAACCAGGAGATCAAAAATTGGAGGAGCTTTTACAGTAACAAAGATATTCTTTCTAGAGGAGGTTCAGCCCTAAAGAGCTTATGAACTATCCCATGATATTTCTGCCTCAAAATTGAATTTCACCCATGTTTTCCAAAGTCAAATAATACAAAGAATATACTTAACTGACACATATTTTGCATTTTTAATTTTTCCCTGGTGTCAAGCACATATTTCTAAAATTCTCCTGAAGATCTGGAAATTGAGTAAGTATGTTTTTTGCAACAGTCATTTTATTAATAAAATTAACAATCTGGTAGAACTTTTTGAAGAAGAAAAATCCTTCTGACAGACTATTCTATCAGTCTTTCCTAGTTACCGTTGTTTGCACTTTTCTGACATGTGCTAACAACAAACCATGAGAAAATTAAAAATATTACTGGTAGTTACACAGTTTGATAAATGTGATAAAATGATATAGAACTAACAATACACACACATTCTATCAATATCAACTTCCTTATTTGGGTATTGTACTATCATTAAGATATAACCACTGAAGGATCTGGGTGAAGAGTACGTGGGATCTCCCTATACTATTTTTGCATTTTTCTATGGATTTGTAATTATTTCAAAATAAAAAAATATTTACAATAACAACAAAAATATAAAATAATTAGGAATGAATTTAAAGATAAGCAACACATCCATATATAAAACTACAAAACAGTGCCAAAAGAAATTAAAGACCTTGTTTGTAGATTAGGAGACTTGCTATTAAATTTTTTCCTGTCTAGGGCACCTGGGTGGCTCAGTTGTTAACGCTTCTGACTTTGGCTCAGGTTACGATCTTGAGGTTCACGAGTGTGAGCCCTGAGTCATGCTCTGTTCTGACAGCTCAGAGCCTGGATCCTGCTTCAGATTCTGTGTCACCCTTGCTGTCTGCTTCTCTCTCTCTCTCTCTCTCTCTCTCTCTCAGAGATAAACATTTAAAAAAATAAAATAACACAGACTGCATGTAATCACAATTAAAGTCCTAATAGCCTTTTTTTCTTTTAGAAATTGGTAAGCTGATTTCAAAATACATATGGGTATACAAAGGACCTAGATTAGCTATAATACTCTTGAACATAAAAACAAAAGTTGGAGGACTTGAACTACCAGATTTGAAGACTAACTAAAGCTACATTAGTTAAGACTGTGCATTGGCCTAAGGATCCAAGAGAAATCATTAGAATAAAACAGAGTCCAGAAATAGAACCACACATATATGTTCAGTGGACGTCTTTTTTATTATGGTAAAAAACACATAACATAAAATTTACAGTCTTAACCATTTTTAAGTGTCCAATTCAGTAGTATATTCATAGTGTGGTAAAAGAGATCTCCAGAACTTTTTTACCTTGTAAAACTGAAACTGTACCCATTAAACAACTCCTCTTTTCTCCCTCCTACCATCCCCTGGTAACCCCTGTTCCACTTTCTGTTTCAATGAATTTGACTGCTAACATACCTAGAGTAAGTGGAATCATACAACATATCTTTATTTCACTTAGCATAATGACTAAGGTTTATCTATGTGGTAGTGTGAGATGGGATTTCCACTTTGCCATATTAAACCTACAAATAAAGCTATAGTCTTTGCCACATGCCTTGCTTAAGTCATAAATAAGTCTTTGGGAGGAGTTGTTCTTTCCGAATGTATGCAGGTCCTAGTGATAACTGTCTTCTTGTCTAAATGTTTAGTAGACTGACAGCTGACTAGAATCTAAACCACTGGCCTAGGCTTTTTTTAGGCTCCACTCCTTTCCCTTTGTGAAAGTCGGAGCATTTATCCATCTCCATCTTTTCTGCCTTTTCTCCTGTCCTCCAGTATTTCTAAAGGGTGTTGGGCATTGATCCTACTGGGATTTATTAGTTGCCTAAGCATCAGAGAGTATGATCTGCATTGGAGATGTGAATTCATTTGAGCCACTTTGGCTGATTCACTCACTAACCCTGGCCTGGGTTTCAGCCAGGGGATTGGTCCACCTTTGCAGTTTAAAGACCCATAAATTCTAAATCAGTATTCAAATTCTAATTCAGTAGTCTTGTCATCTGCTATCCTGAGACCAGTGTATCACATTTTGCTTTAGGTCATTTTGCTTTATGAGTTCTTCCCAGGTAAAAACTGTGTTTTTCTTGGAGTGCCTGGGTGGCTCAGTCGGGTAAGCATCCAACTTCAGCTCAGGTCATAGTCTCGGGGTTCATGAGTTCCAGCCTTGTGTCAGGCTCTGTGCTAACAGCTCAGCCTGGAGCCTGCTTCGTACTCTGTGTCTCTTTGCCCCTCTCCTGGTAGCACACACGCGTGAACTCTCTCGCTGTCTCTCTCTCTCTCTCTCTCTCTCTCTCTCCCTCTCTCTCTCTCCCTCTTTCTGTCTAAAAAATAAATAAACATTTTTTTAAAAAACCTGTTTTTCTCGGATTCAGGCTGTCAGGGCTCAATAAAGGTTGAATTCTCTAAGCATTTAGCCTAAACTTTCTTTGATTCCTTCTTTCTTAAGAAACCCTTTTAAAAAGTGTCTTTTAGCATTTTTCATGAACCTCAATTTCTTCAGCACTTTGGCCTTCCTGTCGCTATTCTTTTGGGTTTTTTTTTAAGTTTTATTTTTATTTGTTTTTGAGAAAGATAAATATTTTTGAGAAAGATACCAAGAGCAGATGGAGGAGGGGCAGAGAGAGGAGACAGAATCCCAAGCAGAGCCGGACAGAATCTGTCAGAGCTTGATGCCGGGCTTGAACTCACGAACTGTGAAATCATGACCTGAGCTGAAATCAAGGGTCAGACACTTAACTAACTGAGCCACCCAGGGCGCCCCCCCCCCAACTTTTTTTTTAAGTTTTATTTTTATTTACTTCCTGACACTACTCTTTAAGTTTGACTTTGAGTTTCATCAATGGATTTTTTTTGGTACTGTCTTTCTTCTTTGGGGTGTATTTTTTGAAAATATGATTTGATACCACGATATTGTAGAATTCTGGTGGAAGGATAGAGTTCATCTATTTAGAATCCTTATTTAAAAGATAATGGAACTGAAGCCCAGAGACTTGCCTAATTTAGATCTTAACTGTGATTTTGGCAAGATCTCAAAGAAAGTGAGTCAGAGTATCAGCCAGATTCCAAGTTTCTGATGGCCAGATCTGTGCCCTCTCTACTAATTCTGTTTGAAGTCATCACAACTGCCTGTGAAGCTTCTCCTCGTTCTTGGATGTCATTCCACTTCTCTCTCAGGGATTGTTTGCAAAAGTATAATGAGAATTCATACCCTGGGAACCATATTGCCTTTTAATGTCTATGGTCAGGATACTTACTGTTTCTGAATGGGTACTGTCCAGCTTCAATAGCTATTCATTTCCTCTCAGCATTTCTAAATGGCTGACTTGAAGTCAGTGGTGAGCATTCATGCTAGGCCACTCTTTCCTTCTCACTGTTATAAGTTTCAGTGTGAAAAGAAAAGTTCATTTCTCTCCTATTTCTAAGGACCATGTCAGTACCATATCAGCAACCAGCTCTCGGTGGATAGAGTTAAAGAATAGCATTGCTCCCACCACCACAGACACACACTTAAAAAACTCACACTTAGCTTGGGTGGTACGAGTAGGGTCGGTGTTGTTGCGTCCTGACCCTTCAGCTAGGTCACGATCTCGCTGTCCGTGAAGTTCGAGCCCCGGGCCAGGCTCTGCTGGCTGATGCCGAGCCTGGAGCCTGTTTCCGATCTGTGTCTCCCTCTCCTCTGCCCCTCCCCAAGCTATGCTCTGTCTCTGTCTGTCCCATAAATAAAAAAAAAAAAAAAAGTTGAAAAAAAAAATTAAAAAAAAAAAAACTCAAGACTATTTTTTAGTATAATTAGATTTCCAGCAGATAGTCTAAGGATGCTATAGTATCTGTGCTAGTTTTTCTGAATTGTCTGCAGTTAAATATATTGCAGCTGTCCGTGGCATTCTTCGATTATTGTAACTTCTCTCTTTTTCCCATAACTCAAGTGTTCTTGTGCTTCCACACTCTGCATTTCTAAGTAGATTTGATGTGTATGTACTCTGTCTCTGCTGTCATTCCCCTTGCCTACCTCTTATAATTTATTTTTAGATACATAGCCTTTCACTGTATATTTCAGTTTTAAATTCCTCAGTGGCACACCAATTCTTGTTTTGCAAAGGTATCTCTATCAGGCCAGTATTTGAAGTTTGCCTTGTTTGGGGAACTGTGTTTATCTATTTCATATTTGCTTCCTTGTAACATTTCAAATGTTACCCATACGCTTTACCTGGGTATGCAGCTGTCTCAGTCCCTTAGGATTGCAGCTGACCAATCTCCCTTCTTCTCCCCCTTTTAACTTGCCTGTTGCTAAGCAGTGTCCAGCCTCTGCTGCTCTCTGTGTCACATAGTCATCCTATGTGAAAGTGAACCTTTTCACTTTCTCTCTCAGAACAGAGTTTACAGTTTTCTTGTTTCAGGGGACATGTCCACTACCAAATAAATGCTTCAGTGTTCACAAGTTATAATCAGTTACTTCATTATTCTGATGCATGGGCTGTCATTCAGGGAAACCAAAGCCATCTATGTAACAAGCTTTTCCAGAATCAAGCATCTCATGGAAGAGAAGATGGTAACACCACCTCGCTACCAGGTTATTTAACTTCCTAACACAATTTTCAGAAGTCTCCTTTAGAATCAGTCCATTCATTCTCTAGGAAGTGAGCAAGAGTGGAAGCATTTTCTAGGACTGAGTCTTAGCAGACCCTGTCATGTATTGAATGAATGTCCTTAAGAAACATTACATACCCTTCATGTGGCCCTGTGAGGAGGAGGAGTTGTTGTTGTTGTTGTTGTTGTTGTTGTTGTTGTTGTTGTTCTTCTTCTTCTTCTTCTTCTTCTTCTTCTTCCTCTTCCTCTTCCTCCTCCTCCTCCTCTTCCTCCTCCTCCTCCTCCTCCTCCTCTTCTTCTTCTTCTTCTTTTAATGGTTTCTGCCTGCATTTTTTTCCTTTTTTTAAATTTATTTTTAAATTTACATCCAAATTAGGTGGCATATAGTGCTATAATGATTTCAGGAGTAGATTCCAGTGATTCATCCCCTATGTATGACACCCCAACAATTGTCCTCCTTAATGCCCCTTACCCATTTAGACCATCCCCCCACCCATAACCCCTCCAGCAACCCAGTTTGTTCTCTGTATTTAAGAGTCTCTTATGTTTTGTCCCCCTCCCTGTTTTTATATTATTTTTGCTTCCCTTCCCTTTGGTTCATCTGTTTTGTATCTTAAATTCCTCATATGAGTGAAGTCATATGGTATTTGTCTTTGTCTTACAGGCTAATTTTGCTTAGATACCTTCTAGTTTCTAATTTCTTCTAATTTCACTCAGATACCTTCTAGTTCCATCCACGTAGTTGCTAATTGTGGCCTTGTGAGTTCTATATACACTCTACATATACCCTGCAAGAGGAATTCTCAAACTGCCAAACATGGATCATTTCTTCTGGACATGATAACAGAACTCTTTCATCCATTAAACCCTATGATTTCTCACTTGTTTCTGTGGAATATATTCTTACTTAGCATGTTTTCTAGAACTGGCAGTGGTCAATGGCAGCTTGAATACCTTCAGCTGGTAGATTAGTCAGTCATGCTAACAGGTTAGTCAGATTGCTTATATCTACCCTAAAGCAGGTGATAAAGACCAAGTCTAGCTAGCCAGGTAGAGTATTTCATCTAGAATAAATAAGAAGTTGACAGTAATTCAGACAGGCATTGAAGTTGGGAAGGTGTGATGAAGGACAGGAACACAAAGATTTGGAAGATGGTTGGGTATTCAGTAGAGAGGAGTTTTCATTGCAAGTACTGGGCTTTCAGCTGTGAGGCAGACATTCAGAGGCTGGAACCAGACCTCTGAGAGGATGGCTGAGAACAAGTAGGAGCATACCTAGACCTTGTTATTGAAATTGAGACGTAAAGGAGAAGTGGGACCAGTAACAGGACTGACTTAGCTCTACCTTTTTTCCCTGAACTTTTTTTTTTTCCCTTCTGACTTCTGGGCTGTTTCTATTTTCCCATCAATGAAAGCTTTTAACAAACCAGAAGATAGAGAGGTGTTTCTTGGTCTCGTTTCCTTCACCTCTAGCAATAGGAAGGGCAATGTAATAGGAAGGGCAATGTATATGTGTTAAATGCATATGATGGTAGTATGTGGTAGGGAAAAAACATAGAGCACAAACTTAGCAAATAATAATATGAGTGTGTTTTTGGTTTTTTGGATATCTGGATGAGCCAACAAGGGTTTTTGGGGTTTTTTTGTTTGTTTGTTTTTGTGGGTTTTTGGATTTGGTTTGGTTTGGTGGGGGTTTTTTTGTTTTTTTTGTTTTTTGTTTTTGTGTTTTTTTTTTGCCATTTTTGTTAACACTGGGCCTCAGCTGTTCCTGGGAAGGAATACTTTGTTTTGCTTTTTTTAAGACTATTTTCCAACTGAGTTTGTTCAGTATTTTTCCCTAGCTACCCTTCTTTTAAAATTTTAGTTGGTAGCATACCCACAAGACTCTTGCACACAGTTTTTCACATTAAAAATGATGGGCTCTAACCAAAGGATAACAGAGACTATGGCCAGAAACCTCTATACTTCATTCCTTGTTTTGACTAAACATTATAGGACTTACTGGGTCTTAGAGGCCCACCATATTCTTGGATATTATGTACATTTTCATGGCACTTGGGTGGTTCAGTCAGTTGAGTGTCTGACTCTTGATTTTGGCTCAGGTCATGATCCCAGGGTTGTGGGATCAAGCCCTGTGTCAGGTTCCACAATGAGCTTGATGCCTGCTTAAGATTCTCTCTCTCCCTGTGCCCCTCTCTCCCACTTAGGCGCGCTCTTTCTCTCTCTCTCTCTAAGATAAAAATTAAAAAAACATTTTCAGGAGTCAGGCTCTAGAAATGCATATATACAACATGAGTTTATAAGGTTTTTTTATTTGTTTTTTCCATTTATCTTTAGGGTTGCGATAGTTTCCAAGTCTTTTGAAGGAAAAACTGATCGCACGGAAGAGTGGTATGGAACCCAGTACAAGCAAGAAGCTGTACCAGACGAAGTCATTAAGGTAGGGTTCAGTCATCTGTGAATAAACTTGGCATTGTGAGGGGCACCCAAGAATATGAGCTCCCTAGATCAACTCATGGGCCATTGTGGAGAGTGACGGTCCACAGCTGTCTGTGCTGTCCTGAGCAGTGTGGACAAGGAGATGGAGAGCTAGAGCTTAGGTTTTTGTGTGAAGAAATGGCACTATGGCCACCTTCTCATGTGTCTGTTAGACCATCAGGGCTGAAAGCAGACCCTCAGCCTCATGCAGTCAAAGATCATTGAAGTCCAAAGTACACAGAGAAGCAAAGGCACCAAAACAGGCAAGAAGAGATGGAAGTAGCATGAAAAACAGATACAAGGTCTCCAGAGGGCTCACCGTCGTGCTGGGTGTACAGCTGGGAATAGTCTCTGGGATTCGCACAGTCTTCACTTTAGGAGGTGCCATATTGTGTGCCTCATTATTGTGTCATTGCTCTTTTTGTAAATGTAAGGGAATTAGAATTTGTTTCAAAACAGCTGTGTTTAGGTAGTATGTTACCCCATTCATAAGTAGTGAAGCTTTTGTTTATGAGTCTTAACCTACTTGTCTAGTACTTTTTAGTTTTCATTGTTATTGTAGCTTTGATATTGTCCTTTATTTGTGGGAAAACACCAGAAAGCCTTGCTCTGACTAGGTTCTAGTTAAACTTGAATAATGGACATTTCTTAAATGTACTTGTATAATGACAATACAGAAAAAAAGGATAGTTTAAGAAAACCATCGCTCTGACCTATTCACAATACAAAAGGAAATCACTGGAGCCCCTTAGTATATGAAAATATCCATCTAGCTAAACTGAGGAATGCTGATCTCCCATGAATTAATTGTAAAGCAAAAGAGAACCCCTATTCAGCAAGCTCTGTTCATAACAAACCTGCCCCAAATGGGAATTTTTTAAAATAAATTTATCTGGGAGACATCTGGCTGGCTCAGTTGGTAGAGCATGCAACTCTTGATCCCAGAGTTGTGAGTTCAAGCCCCACCTTGGGTGTAGAGCTTACTTAATTAAAAACAGAAGGAAAAACAACAACAACAAAACCCAAAACAACCCAAATTTATCTGGGAGTTTAGCAGCGAAATTATTTACTATGTGTTTCCCAGCCCCTACTCTTCAGCCATTCGGGAAACTTGCTACTCATAATACAGCCAACATTCCCACCATTCCAGTGCCAAAAAACATAAATGTAGAAACCAAAACAGAATAGAATTGCAGAAGCTGCAAGGCTGTGCTGGATCATCTGAAGACCAAATCGCTGAACCCAGCATCACTGGCAGTGGTGGCCCTTTTTTTTTTTTTTTTTTTTTTTTTTTTTTTTTTTTTTTTAACATAATGAGAAGTCTTATAAATTAGAGTCCAACAATCATTGACCTGTGATCTGTCCCACTTAGCTTTTGGAACTAGCCCATGGAGCACAATCAACATGTTGTATCAACCCTGTCCTACAATCCAGACTTAAGTATCCACTTTGTCCTTAACTTTGTGCGTGAATTACTGGTTCACTTAGAAGTTCACATGATCATTGGGAGAGTGGTGGAGCAGGCCTTAGGAAGCAGTACTAAAGTGAAAGAAACCCTTTTTTTTTTTTTTTT